GCAGCCATGGCAGATTAAATATTCATTTTTATTTCGGTAAACATTTTGTGGCTACAAAGAAACTGGCACAACATTTACAGCTTAGATAGCTTTGCGGTAAAAGGAGAAGCACCAAGCAGCAATAGCCCGAAGTCCAAAAAGCAATTATCTTGCAGGATGATATCGTAATTCAGAATGAGTTAATTTCGGTTTTCAATACATGTGATTGGATAATTAATAATGCTGTAAAGTTATTAATGGCTGTTTGAATTTTAGTTCCATTTAATTACCGACAAAAGTCTTAGGACATGGATTAGTCTCAAATAAAGCAATATATCATAGTGTCCTCATAGCATTTTATTCTCGGGAATGGGAGAAGCTTATGAATCAAACTCTACCATGTCTTAAAGTCTACGTGGCGAATTTTTTTTTTTTTCATCTGCTCATGACCTAACAACGTATGTAGGGCTGATGCCAGAGCCGGTGCAGCTGAAACAATTTGCAGAGATTGGCCCAAGCCGTGCCTTTCCTAAATTTATAATTTTAAATAAAAAGGTTTTTTAGGCGGGTGATACGTCATCTTACATTCTCGTTAGGGGAAAAGTTTAGTTAAATAAGTGAGTGGTACATTACGTAATGGTGAAGCTTATGTTTAATTAAGTGCCAAATATAAGGCAGGGACTTAAAATATAGTTGATAAACAGTCAAGGCAGAAGGCAGCCAAATTTTGAAGAACACTTGTATGCATAATTAGTCCAAAGGGGCTTTGCCCCTGAAGGACTATTGTTTTCATTTTGCGATTTTGCGTTCAATCACTATAAATGTCCGTTTCACTTTTCAAGCTGTTACCACCAAATTTAGAGTCCTGCATTATATTTGAAGAAATTAAATAATGAAAAATCTGTATAAATGTATGTATATTTCTCGCATTGTGATAAAACAACGGTACATAGAGCCGTCGAATTTTGAATGACGTAATCCTCCTACGAATATGGGCATGTGGAAGACCAAATTTGGAATTTGTTTTATTATCGATTTCATATTTTGTAAACCTTTAACGAACTTTTGATTAACAAACTCAACGATTTAAATGCGAGCAATGGCAATACTCTACGGGGGAGAAAAACCTTTTTATCTCCAGCGCGCGGAGCTGTGTATCGGAAATTCTAAAGATATGCTCAATTTTAAATTATTTTGCGATATTGCTCTTGAACTGAATTTTGTGGGCAAGTGCGAAGAACATGATATTTAATAAATAAATATAACACACAAACTGTTTAAAAAAACCGCCCCTTTGGCCGTAATTTAAAATCTGAAACCTTTCAGATTTATTTATTTATTTATTTATTTTGTGTGTGCGTGGGCATTGAATGCAACGCCGTGGAGTTTTACAATAATTATAGGTTAGCGCTGTTTACTTAGTATTTCAATTAAACATGACAGAACTCAAATAATATGCTTTTCAAGAATATATGTTACTATAATACTGATAAAAGAAACTTTTAATTACGTCTTACTGCTTGATAGAAATAAAGGAATAGTTCAATGAGAAATCAATGAGCAAATTAAAGTTAGCAACATAAATTTGCTTCTAACTTCAGTTTGGCAAAGTCTGTCACCGTTACCATCTGGATTGGTTGAATGGGTTTCGCCCTTTTTGCGAATTGCCTTTTAATTGGATGAAAATATAAGAAATTATCGCCTTCTCCCTGCATACTCTCGTGGTGCAACTGCTGGCACGTTCCGTTAGCAATAGGATAATCTGTGGTTCGAATTTCGTGAAGGTGCATCTGAATTTTCATTTTACTGCTTCGAAAAGAAACTGCTGTCTCTAAAATTGCGTCATAGTATATGATGTCAGAAACGCTTTTTTATTATTTAACTAATATCTGCATACTTCTAGAATGGTATAGAAGATTGCCGTACTATAGCGTATGATAATTAAATAAAGGGCATCGCTGTATAGCATATATTTATCATTCCAGTGCAGAATAAGTTTTGACATTTTATTTTCTAGCCCCACTTGAGTACCAACTCCTGACGGCCAGATAGGCTAAAACGGAGAAGTTACAAACAATCCTTTAAATATTTCAAAATGAAAACCAAACAAATAACATTATTATTTAGTACGTATATTATTTCTAAATTATTCAGTTTTCTGTAAGGTATTTAATGTAAAAATTTGAAAAATAAATTAAATATCTTATATCTCACGGGTCGGCAATACCTGAAAAAATTGACCATTTAGAAGATTAATTGGCAGGCTGCCAACTACACAAATGATTAAATGAATGGACAGATATGGTTAGCATAATGTAATGTAACGTGGAAAATGAATAGATTTTATACATTTATAAACATCAAAATGAAAATAAATAATAAACAGTTTACATCTAATCTTACAATATCTAGCTTTTTATATCATATTGAAAAAAACTAAACTAACATTTGACTTACGAATTCATTACACTATCATTCCCATTTCGACGTAAATATGTCTCTCAACTTAACGAGTGCATTAAGTTGCGAAATGAAATTTTTCTTTCCAACTGAAAGAACAAAAGTTGAAAAAAGAAGATAGTACAATAGATGTTAATATCGATATACTCCCTAGAATTTCTATCAATTTTCATTTATGTGAGTGGTTGTTCTTACTAGTGTTTCCTTTTTCTTTTATGTTTGTTCCACTTTAGAGAGGCAGTCAGCTCTTGTATGCTGCTGACCGCATTATTAAATCTTGCTACAAATTTTTGTTTGTAAATATTTGTGAAAAGAATTGAATAACTTAAATTGTACTCAAAAACCATGTCATTTATTTTAGTAGAAATATTTCTTTTTTGTTTGATATATGAGAAAGCATAACTTACAGCAACAAACTAAACAAAAACCAAATTCATTTTTAAATATAATATACTAGAATAGCTCTAAATGATAAGACAACACGTTTTTATGAATATGCCAGTATTAATAAAACTTCGATTTCAACAGGTAAAATCCAAACTTTTTATTTGAAAAGCAAAGTTTTTTTTTCCTTGAAGTTAGTTAATTTTTATTATTTTTTTTTCATTACCTTCACTCGTACTGTTGCTTGCGGCATTCCCGGATTAAAGCATTTTTTTTTTGATAATTTACAATATTGAATCTTATGTTTTTCATCGTTACCATTAGTTAAAGATGGTTTTGATAGGTTTTTCATAATTGAAGAGCAAGCTGACTGTTTATTTCATATTCGGAAATAAGTGCTTAATATTTATAAATCTGTTCTTAAAAACCTGTTTCTTACATCTGAGAACGTTGCTAGTCCAGTTAAGCATTTACGAAACATACATAACTGCACATTTTAGGAACAACAGAAGGGATAATTAATTTATGTAAAAATCTTTCTGAACTTTTGCAATTTTAAATTGCTTCATAAAAGTTTATGTATGAAAAATTAGTTTCTGCACTGCAATGTTAGAAACTTTATGGGGAATATTGCTGTAGGATCTGCAGCAAGATTCCTCGTTTTTTTCTTTATTTTCTGTAAAGAGATCTCTATTATGATGTATCATTTGACAGTTTCTGCTTGCTTAGGAATTCTCAATGAATTAAGCTCCAAATTTCAATGCTTCTTTTTCCTGTAATTTCAAGGATTCATTAGTTGATATCCGAAGCTGTTTCTTTATATTCCGACCTTTAATATAAGCAATTTGCAGGTTTGAGGGAATGTTTTGTTATGTACTGGTTAAGGGTTCTTCTAAATAAGCGCAACTTGAAAGTACGTGCATAAAAGTAACAGATTAATATCGCTAAAATAAATACATGTTGATAAGAGCAAAAACAAAGGTAGTAAGTAGATCGAAAACTATAAATATGACGTTAACTATTAAATATAAAATGTATTACGATATAAATCCCTTTGTGAATGTGACATTATATGCAACTTGCTCTCTTCAAAAAATCCCATATTACTACAATTAAAAAAGCTAAAATATATGAATAATTTAAAATATTTGTATATCGCGATATATGAATTTGTAGTTGGTAGCGGCAACACTAGACAATCATTCTGATCCGAGTGTATCTAGATGGACGTGAACGGTATACAAGATACGATGGCTAGTTGAAGAGAAACTAGGTTAGACAGCAAATGAATTAACGCCAACCAGTTTCTTGGTATGTTTTTAGTTGCTTAGGCTTTGAAAAGCTACAGAAACATTAAAAACTCCAAGAGTGTCAACAACTATTTTCTATATGTTCGAATAGCATCGTTCACATTTCAGCGATGAGTTTGTTTTATGGGTCGATTTGACAAATTGTCTTAGATACTATTAATTACGTACAAGAACGTCAAGCTTATATTATATGTTGCACGTTTATGCGGTAAAACATTAGGTGGCAACTTCTCGTCAGTCTGCTCAGCCGTCTGAAGAGGTAATCAATGTTTAAAAGCTCGAAATATTAATTCGAGCAAAAAGTAAAACAATTTCTTTGATTTTGAGCGTTGCTTAATGCTCTGCTTAGTTTCGTAAGCGATTTCTTTTTCTTATTTACGATTATCTGAAGAATATTGTGGAACATATTTTTATAATACACCTGCTATTAAAATGCATTGCAATTTAGTAAGTTTCAATATTTAACATGATTCAAATGTAAAAATATAATAAAATGAGCAAATATATTGCATTTTTAAGAGTTAAGCTTTAAATTGTTCTTTGTTGAATATTTAATACAAAATAGTTTAAAATTTTCAAAATAATTAAGAATTTTGTTTTCTAAATAAACATGCAAAGCATTCTTACCTTTAATTCTCTATAATAAGATGCAATCAAATCTCAGAACATTTTATAATGCACTTTGTTGTAAATATTTGTGCTATTAAAAAAAAGAAGGTTCTGTAATATATATATATATATAAGTTTTTCATTATTCATTGCAATGAAATAAACATTCAACGTTTCCTCAATTCTCTTCTGTGTAAACATATCTTACGTCTTTGAAAATGCTTGTGAAGAAGTAAAGGAACGACACTGACACAATAATATGTTCCGAACTTATAATTTATAGATAACATCTTTGTCTACAGTTGGAGAACACATAAAGCGCTGCGAAGGCCGTTGAACACTTTTCTCGCACATTTGCTTATTTATCCACACATTTACGTACATTAATTGGATGATAATAGCTTATATCAATTTAAAACACAATAACTGTATTATTTACAAAACCAAAGCAAAGTTTCTCTTTGCAGTGGCAACACTTTCAATATACATATGTAGCAGGAGTTGCTTTTCTTCAACAATTCACAAAAAATACACACAGATAAGTTCTCTAGTAGATAACCTAATTGAGTCCATTTACAATTCGCTTAAATCGATTTTGTTCACATAATACTATTAATCTGCTCTTTAAAATGCAACATCGGTGAAATTTTCAACAGCACACATTATGACAAGAGACTTTTCACAAAAAAATGTAAAAGCAGGGTAAAGTATCACTAAAAAGAAACAATAGAGAGCCGAGTAATGTAACGATAAGACTGAGAGAGAAATAGGTGTTTCACGGGAATCAACTGATATTTGTTTAAGACTAAAATTTAGGGCAAAAAGTAATTGCTTCGAATTTCCTTATCATCTACGTAAGAAAACTTGAAATGTTTGATGTTAAATTTACAACTAATATTAGGCATGGGTAATTTTAGATCGTTCAGGTAAAAGATTTTTATAGTTTCGTCAAGTGAAACACTAAACTGCTTACAATACTCAGAGAACGCAAAGTATCCAAAATATTATAGATTAAAAATTAAGATTGTAATGCGAATTTAATTACTAATTAAGAGAACAGTTAATTAATGTAAAATAAAATTAATAAAACATAAAAGTTTAAAATACATTTTAGTCACATTTAAAATAACTTCATAATTTACAAATGACCTTTCAAATATAAACAAGAATTTATAAGATAAAATATGTTTTAAAATAGAATGAAATAACTTGTTTACTATTTTTCCAAGCAAACCATCTGTCACTGCAATACTAGTACTGCAACAGCTGTCACTGCAAGAAAACGTTTTTAATCCAACACTAAGAAAGTTTCTTAATTCCAGAAGAATAAGTTTTTTGACTGTTAGGTTGGCATATTCTTGCACGGCGTCAATAATCTATTCCTTAGATTTGAATTTGTTTGCCATTGCATTTTTGATCGCTTTGACTTTGGAATGAAGTAATATAAGCGTGTTTTATCACATCAAAAGGATAGATACAAGTTTAGAGTCTACTATAGAGTAATCCTTTTCAGAATGCTTCAGAAGTTGGGCGACTGCAAAGGATATTCTTGGTTTCCAGACATAAAAAACCGGAACCCATTTCGCTCTCATCTTGCTAAATTTAACTCAATTTTTAACTAATGCTTCCTCATTACCAAGACTTATTGTAAGCTCTTAGCGATTTTTCTGCCAGTGATTCTTTGGTTGACTCGAATCATTGTAGCAATGACAGTCAGCTTGCCTTCGTTAGTTGAGATTCTTGGCCGACAAGCAAAAGGTTCTTTTTTAACCTTCAGCTGATCTTCTTTAAAAGACTTAACACCAATCACACAATGTAGACTGAGAGTGAGAGAGAGAGAGAGAAAGACATCAAGCTCCAAATCTTTTAAGTCTCGAATGAATAATATGTTCATTATTGAAAACGCTAATGCTGAATCGCTGTATATTATTGTTATGACATTCTGTTCACACATGTTGATTACAACTACATGATTACATTGAACACTTTACAAGAACGAAGCATGAACATTCCTGTTTTTATTTGAACTCTTCCAGTGCAATGTTGCGCAAAAGACCGATAATCGGATTGAAAAAGTTTTCACGCCGGCGGTAGCCCATGCGTTATTCAAACTGACAGTGAAATATATATTTAAGACTATGTTGTACAAGAGCTGATGAAATAAATTAGTGATAATTTTAAATTATGTTTTCCAAATTACGTTTCATGTGTTGGTACATTGTTGAGTAGAAATTGTAAGCATATGGTAACGAAAATGTAATTTTGATGTATTTTTTATTTAATGAATTTAAAATATGACGTAAGTTATCAACACAAAATGATTTCTTCGCATTGTTTTAGAACAACGAAATGGAAGCGAAATCGATTCAATTTTTTTGTTGCAACTTCGCTCTTGAAATCGATGAAATTATGTTTTTCAACCCACTTCTCCATCTTATACTCTTTGATAATATTAATACTACAATAATTCTCTTAGTTTTGTTTTTTTAAATACGTACTACCAAAAGGAAAAAATAAAAGTGATTACCTTTTTGTTCTTATTTAAGTTACATTCAAATGCATCTTAAAAAGTATTTTAGGATTACATCGTTATTATTTTTAGTCATCAATTTCAGTCGAAATTAAAGAGAAATTGAAATTAGTAGAATATTATATAAGTCTAAATTTTGTCTCACTTTTAATTTTTCTATAGATACAGAATTTATTTGTTAAACTTAATTAGAGTATATAGCGGGCTCTTTAATAGGATCTTCTCTGATGAAAGCGTAATACATTTTATCCTTAATATTAGGCTCAAAAAATTAATTACCGTAATGTCTTCATTTCCGGAAAAGTGTTATCTTCTGATAAGTTATTACATATTTTTAATTATGCTTTTACAAAGAAATTTTGCGATTAATTTTATATGCATTTAAATGTATCAAGTAGGTTTTCTTTTAATGTAATTTAACCACCGTGTTTTATTAGTGATTGGACTTGCTGTCTCTTCTCTCCTCAAAGTCGAACTGTTTAACATTTAACTTAAGTATATTTAAAAATATTGATAAAAGGTAGAATAGTGCAAAGAAAGTCCTTATCAGTAAAACTGATTAATATAACGAGTGCATCATATTTCTCTCTATTAATTGATGTTAATGAATTATTTTTAATACTGGGAGAAGATATACTTAGCCATGTAACGTAAATGAGAATCCTTAAAAGAAAAAAAAATCTGATTATGTCAAAATATTGAAACTGATTTTTATTTATTAAAATTAGTTTTGTATGCACTTTTATCAGAAATCTCTTTCACTTATTCTGAAAGATTTAATTATTATTAAAATATTCTATTATAAGTTAATATTTTTAAGTGTAGAAGGCTGGAGGCTGGCTCTTGCTAAAACAATTGCTTCTTCTTTACCCTTCTTTTACATTTTTTAAAATTGTGATAAATGGCAAAATTTCAGTTGCAGACGAGCTAGAATGAGCGAAGAATCAATTGGTTAATAACTGTCGTTATTATTTCGACAACTTCCAAATACAGTCAATAAAAGGAAGAAGTTCTTTTTCGTTTCTTTAACTACATTTACAGCAGAATTCCAATTCATACAGATATCTGAAAAATATCTCTTTGAAAGTTTTCATATTTTCGTACATATTTATTCTAGTTTAGATTGTTTATTCATTTTCTGCACCATTCTTCTTCAACCAATAACTCATAGTTGAATAACTAGGAAGTTTTTCCGAACTGAATTGAATATGTCGAAAGCTAGAAGAAATTCCATATATTGCTTATAACAACTATGAGTAAAATAATAAAAGTTTTGGAGGATGAAGAACAGTTACTTAAAGTTTCCAAAAACTAGACTCAGTAAGCTTTGTCGTAAACAACACTTATTATCTCCAAATGAATTAAATAGAAAGCACATTTATTCGTGCACTCATAGTCCAAGAAAGCACCATAATTCACATGAAATACAAAATACGCAGACACTTGTACAAAATAACGTTAAAATCAACACACTATATTAGTTTTTACAAAAGATAAATAAATTGCTATATAAGTCATAAAAATCTTTAAAAAATACATTAAACTCTAACAATGTACAAAAAAAAATAATAATGAAAGTAAAACATCTATTTCATAAGTAATATATTTATATATATATGTATATAACATTTAAAGCATTATATTAATGTTCCTTTATAAATCATTAATCTCTATATAGTATTCACTGTAGGAATGCAGATAAGGCGCGACTAGATGACGGATTTGTTTCACATTAATTTAAAAATAAAACTTACAAAAAATTAATAAATTTTGAACATTGTTTCGCTTACATAATTGGCTTCACTTTTTTATTTGTTAATTAGTAATGAAGGAAACTGAAATCTCTTACACTGGTACGTATGCAAAGATTCTTTTGAAAGACCCAAATACAAAAATCTGATAAATCATGACAGAAAATTTGTATTGCTGTTAATATTTTATTGACTAATTTAATTCAGATATTTTATGTATTGTGATTTTTATAATTTTTTATTACACGTAAGGCAATACTGATATTTTATTAGTGTACCTTTAACGGTATACTAGCTCAAAATGAAATTAAAAAAAACTCTTACTGAAAAATAAGCTAGCATCTTGCTAACAGCGTGTTTGACAAATATAGCCTATTGAGGGTACTAATTTTATCACAGTTTTAAAGTGAAGCATTACTGATATTTGTTGAATATACTATTTATTCTGCCTGTTCAAAGAATATTTTCATCTTACTCATATTTCTTACGAATCTCACACTTTGGTATGTGAAGGAAATGTGTTATGTCAATACATTTTAGACCCACGATTTTCAAAGATTAAAAATTTTATGATTTTAATAAAATTTTTAAATTGTATTACATATTCTAATAAAATATTTTAGTAAATCTTTATATGTTCATGATCAAACGCATGATTTTTTTTTTGTAAATCAATGTCTGATTGTTAATTGAAGATATTAAATATTTCATCAAACATATAATTTTAATGTTAGTAAGCTCTTGAATGCTTTTGTTGAAATGTGCTGATTTTTTAATTTATGAATTATAATACTGATTAAATTTAAATAGCATTTTATTTCAAAGTTACTTGATTAATTCAGCTTCCGCCAGAGACGCATGTTTTGCAAAGTTGCATAAAATTTAAAACAGATTGTCCTATACGACATATTAATTTAAAAGTTTAACCCTATAATGCTTGGATAGAACCGCTAAGTTTATTTTTATCTTCATTAACTGTCTTTGTTTTCACAGAAATGCAAGGAAAAACAATCCGTTAATAATAAGTAACATTTTATGAAAGTGAACTTAAATTTACAGGATGTTAAAAATATTCTAACTTTCAGAAAACTGTTTTATTCACATATATATGAAACGAGTTATTCATAACCTTAATGTAAATAACATGTTAGAAACACTAATTTTTAACATAAGAGGAACTCTCAGGCAGTAATTAGTGTATTTTTAACTTAATCTTTTTATAGTTGAAACGTTTTATTATTCTGATTTACTATTAATGAAACTTATATTTAAAGGTTTTAATATAATGAGGAGGGAACTCTTTAAGAACACTTCTTCTTACAAAGCATTTGAAATCAAATTGAAAGGTACATTAAAAATACTTAATGTTTGTTGCTTTTATCAGTGCAGTTTATGGAAATATAAATTGAGGACTGTTATGTGTTCCTTAGCTTTGGCTTTCCCAAATATCTAAACTATTTCAGTTGAACATTGGCAAGTTCTGCGAACGTGGTGTACAACAATGTAACAGATCTGTTTTCAAATTAGACTGCTGTATGCCTCTTCATGTGTAGGGAAAGATGATCCGACCTGGAAAACGCTCTCTCACAGAGTCTGCACTGAAAAGGCCTGTCGCCTGTATGTTTTCTGTAATGACGAGTGAGTTCATCTGATCGCGCAAATTTCCAACCACAACCCTTCCAGTTACACTGGTAGGGCTTCTCTCCAGTATGGGTCCTCAAGTGGGCCTTCAGGTGAGAACTCTTAGTGTAGGTTTTGGAACATCCGGGATGCGAACATGTGTGCGTCGTAATCTTTTTCCTCCCGAAACTTCTCCTACCTCTTTTCGGTTTGCCGATAATACTTCCGGAGGGAGTTTGCTGCTGCTCCGGAATTTCAGGCATGTTGGCAAAAACAGTCTGATGAGTCGCCGTGAAGCTAGTTGTAACGGCTGTGGTGGCACGGTTATTGTTGAGTAATTCTGCTAGGTGTGGCGAGGAGGGAGGTGTAACCATTCTCAAATGAGGCGGGGGCTGCTGTTGCTGCTGAAGCTGACCAGGATGCGAGGACGACAGAGATACCACCGTGGGTCCGAACTGCGACTGAGCATGGTTCATTAAGTGAGGTGAGACGAAGCCATCCACCAGCAAACCACTGGCGGCTTTCATGGCTAGTTGCTGACCTGTCCGTTCTGGGGACGCGGGGGGAGACATTTGACTCGCAATAACAGCGTTCGCGTTGGCGTTATATGTCACCCACATATTTTGGGTCAGTGTAGTGGCATAAGGAGAAACTTGAGAATTTGCTTGTTGTTGTGGGGGAACACAATTGTTAATCTGCGCGAACCTATCCTTCCCGTGATCTACTGGAAGCAGCGGCGATATCATGTCCTCTGTGACATCCATGGCACCATTGCCGCCGCTACTGTTGTTGTTGCAACCTTCCTGTTGCTTTAAGCGGTCATCAAAGTTTACATCGTCTGGGTAAGTCACGGTTGAATGAGTATTTCCGCTGGAGGAACCACTCAAAACAAAGTCCATGTAAGCACCTATGTCCTCGTACCTGCTGGGCGATGCAGTGTCCTGCGTGGTGTCGTGGCTATTGAGAGATGGAGCCACGAATCTCTTTTGGATATCTGCGGGAGGAGTTGGTTGATTCAAGTGCAGGACTCTCGATACTCCAGAACCAACGGGAACTTTCATCTGGTGTTCTGCGGGGTGTATGTCTCCCAAAAGAACGCTCTCAATGTCTTGCCACATCTGCAAAAAAATTATTCAATAAAACAACAAATCAAGCTATTTTAATGAGATTAATGAATTTATATTGCATGCAATTTATGGAGTTTTTTAATATGGATATAAATGTTGTAGCAAATATTTAGAAGAGAAGAGAAATTTTACGATTTATTATTTTTAAAACTCAAGTATTAGTACTACGGTACTTAAGTGAAAGTGATGCAGTGAAATAGAGAAATAACTTAAGGCATAAAAGATTCTTACTAAGTCTCTTTCATATGCTTAGTTTGTTACCGTTACGACAAATATGGATTTTTACAGTTATCTTGCTAATAGAAGCTGTAAAATTACATTGTTATTTTTCATGACATCTCTTGACAAATATTATGCTTTCAGGGCTAGTTAAAATTTAACATCTCTATGCGAATTTTATTTCAGTCCTCAGGCAGAGCTAATTTCTAAAATTAGAAGTGCCGAAGCTCTATGGAAGATCATCAAGAAAAAGGAAAAGTAAAATTTAAGAAATTCATAAATAATTAATACTGAACGTGAATAAATGTATGGCAATAAGTAAAAAAAAATATACGTAAAATTAATGACAAATATTTAAGTAAGAAATTTAAAATACTATTATTTATTTTATTTGGAGTACCGATTGGAATTACAGTTTACTTCGAAAACTGCAAAATACCAGAGGCCGGCCACTGCTGAATTTAGGGAAAAATCGCTACGATGAAATTTTAAAACTTGTTATTCTGCTTTATAATTTGCCTCCATATGTGTAATTAATTTACTACTCAAGTAGGGAAGAGAATTTTACTATGAAGTGTATTTTATATATTGTTAGGAATTATCTGCGTATTATTATTCACCGAGGAAAAATTTTCAAGAACTGCCACAAAATCATTGGTTTTTCAACCTTCAAAAACATACTTAGTTTTGTTTCCTTAATTTATATGAACTAAATTTATTACATTATCTTTTTTGTAACGTTTTGTTTAAATATCTCAGTTGATGCATACATTTTTTCCTCTGATTTATTGACAATTACAAAATTTTACACCTGTTACCCTTTGTTAAAATTTACAATCCTATTAGAATTGCCCTTGAAGGAATATGTGGAAACAATGGTTTGTTAAAAAAAAGTTTCTTACTTATTTGATACCTTAGAATAAAAATCAAAAGAAAAAAAAATGCTCTTTCGTATTTCATGGAATTAAATTCTGCATTTTAATGATATTGGTATGGCAGTTTCGGCAAATGAACAAAAGCTAGATAACGAGCCCTTGGGGAAATACAATTTTCCGGCAATAAATGAAGAAAACAAAATAAGATTATCATGTCATAACAAAACAAATTCCACCTCCGAAAAAGGACTAACCGCATTATAAAAAATAGAAAGTATTCCAATTAAAACAAATTCTTCTCTTCACCTTGGTCCACTTTCAGTTTTCTCCTGCCTTTCTTTTTTTCCCTCTATCTCCCCACTTGTTCGGACCAATGAGCTATAAACACGCGTCTTACTTCAACACGATCACTTTGACATCGGGATCATTTAAGTGTCAGTATGCAAATGAAAAATGAAATTATGAAATTAATGCTGCTTCGCCTCGTTTCAAAAAGCCGTAAGTAGTCGAGTAAATTCGCTGGTAAAAAAAAAATTATACTAATTTAAAAAAGGAGAGAAATGGCTTGTGTTTGTCTACTTTCCGCCTCTTCTGGAAATCATAGTTGTTTCATTTTTTACTTTCGTTTATGTTACTAATGATGAAAAGGTTTGCCCAGAGGGTTATGCATGATGAGGTACTTGTCATATACCGCTGAAAAACATCAGTGTAAAAAAAAGATAAAAAAAGTCGAATCCATTAGCTAATCAAATTAATCGAGCGTTCACTGTGACCGAAGGCTCAGACCAATTCCAGTAAAGAAAATGGCGATCGGTAGTTTGAAATGTGGAAATAGGAGCGGCTGCCAATTAAAGCCGTAAATAATGTTTCGATATGTGCGTATAATTGGGTATAAAAACGAATCAAGAGAAGTGTATATGGGGAGTTGTGTATCTTTGAAACTCAGCGAGGCGTAGCAACTTCGCGATAGTGATGTAACTTTCACAAATCCATTGTGATTCATCTGATGAGAAACGTCTCTTGAAATGTTTGATTTAACACTTATCATTATTAAGTCAATTTTAACACTGAAAAATTGTTTTTACTAGTAAAATCCTGTACTTCATAAGAAACGATGAAGTCAATAGACAATGCAATAATTTCATTCATTTTCGATATTACAAAATAATATTTCTCATCATCACAATCATCTAAAAAGTTGTTTTATCTGGACTTCTCAACAACGAGTTAACACTGTTATTTTGTACTACGAGTACCACAAGTTTCTGACATAAGGCAACTGAAAAATTTCTTTCACGTATAATATATCGTTTCATGCGAAAGTAATACAACAAAGTGTTATGTTACTGTTATTTTAGTTTAGTCTTACCTCAGTTGCAAACTTGGAACTCGTATTTATATTATCATCCATATTTAAAATAAAATGTAATGTTTAGAGTGAAATTTTGTAAGAATAAGAAGACTGCAAGTCTCTCTATATAATTCTTTTTAAAAATTTTGTTCGAAAGGAAATATACACTTGTAATATTTTTGTGTTTGTGTGTTTTTTTATCGAAATAAATAGAATTTTAGAAAGAGAAATCCGTTTCATATTCACTTTAAATTTTATCAGATGGAAAAGATTTAGTTTTATCAGAAAACAACACCAAGTGTTATTTTATCTTATGTTCCCCCCCCCTACATTCAGTTTGTCGGTTTTGTTTGACTGTTTGCTAGATTTTTACTGCTGCACAACTTAAAGAAATATACATTTCATTGAGATACATTGAACCAATATTTATTTGCTTCATTAATATTTCAAAAATTAAATTGATACCTTTCTTACCTAAAATATTTTGTGCCAATGTATGAATTATGTTTTGTGGCTTAATGCATTTTTGAACGTCAAACATATTTAGTTTAATTTGAATTTGATTATTTGAACACTTATTTTCCTTTTATATTGTTTTAAATTGTAATAAAATGTTTTGAAGTGAACGCAATAAAATATTTGAAGTGTAACTGTACAAAAATAATTAAATCGATAACGTAGATAATGCATCATATTGAGTAGAAGTCTAGACTCATTAAATAAGAACTCTTAAAAAATAGTAGAATGATGTACTTTAGTTTTTTCCCCTCTTCATCTGAAATTGTTTATGATTTGTTTAGTATAAACTTTTTGAAGTCTTAGATTATAATTTGAAGATTTCCCAGATAACAAATTTATTATTATTATTTACTATTCTTACTACTACTACAACTGTTGCAAATATTACTGTTGTTACTATTATTATTATCTCAGCTTATTTCGTAAATTTCACAACTTTCAACTAAATGACTAATGATTTACTTTCTAATAAACTAAAATTAAGAACATCTAAATTACTCCGACACATAAATAGTAGTATTATTACTAGCCAGTATTCCGAATTACTAATTACTCGTTGTATTCCGAATTCATTGAAACCCTTTATCAGAAGATTCATATTTTTCAAAGGCTTTTAAATATAGTCGCATCTTAAAAATGTTATCATTCAGTATTATTTACTTGACAGCGAAATCACGTAATCTGGTATTTTGCGTCCTTTATGTTTTAAGAGAACATAACATTCTTGTTAAAATTAAATATTTTACATAATCTTTAATAACGATTTTCATATAAAAATATTTAGCAATCTTTTAAATAAAGTGGTTTTTCCCATCTAGAACGTGCATACCAGCCGGTTACCCTTAGAAAGTCTTTCACAAAGGCATCGCTTCTCTTAGACAGATAGCTTTAATGTGTTTTACCATAATTAACGATAATCGTATGAAGATACGAACAGTCAAAATGGCTTCCCACGAATTTTTGGAATTCGAATGGGGGTGGAGTATCTCTCTCGAAATTCTATTCCCCGCCGTTCCGGAGGAGATAGTGCCAAAATCAAACAAACAGACGGACGCGCACAGATTTTAATAGCATACATTTTTTGAAAATAACTAAATAAAATATTTTGAGTAAAAATAAAAATGTCTTGTGCCTCGTGGCTTTCCAAACAGCAGGGATAGTAATTGCACATGCAGAATAATGAACCATCACGTAATTTAAGAGTGAGAGGGAAATGGAACTACTAAGCTATAGATGTTACAACGTCCAAATAAATGTCTGTTCTTATATTGATTTCTTTTTAAATTAACTTATGTCTGCTATATTAATTAGCTTCATTTATTTGCTAGCCTTATGGGGCAACAAATCTCGAGCTGTTGAGTGGTGTCAATGATGCCTTGTTTGTTCAAGAAAATGAATGTTAGCCTGAAAGAAAAAGAATCGATTGAATAAATTACTTAAAGCGTTATCTTTCGCGAAGGACCCGAAACTTTCGATGTCACAGTATTTCAATCTTAACGTGGGTAAAAAGCGAAAACTGGAACTACGTGACCTAAGCAACTAGGCTACAATTTTCTTTTCCGTTATGCTCAGAACTAGTTTGACTCACTACCAGCAACTTCGAGACAGGTGGGCATTCCTGTTCCTACGAAATTAATTTCCTTCCTTTTTAGCATGTAATTCTGTATTAAAATGACAGATCTGCATGTAAGAGTGGACCTCATGATTGGTAATCATGTGGACGGTGGCAGTCTATAATATGCTGAGTTAAAAGATGTAAACGCTAAATTTGAAAGCAGAAATCGAATTTTCATTAAATTATTTATAAAATACTGATTTCTATTCAAAGACTGTTTCTATCTCCTTCTCCCTAAGCGGCATGTAAATAATCAAAGATCTAAATCAGAAACAGATAATTAAAAGGTAATATTGTTGAAGAGAATTTGTTTTTAAAATAAAGTGATTTTAGATGTAAGATATACATTTATTTAATAATTATGTTCATTTAATTTTTCTCAGAAAAATTCCTACTGAAAAAATTTAA